GGTTGCAGAAGAAGAAAAAGGGGATTGGGGGTGGGTGGGTTTGCAGAAGATGAAAGTAGGGGTGGCCGGGTGGATGCTTTTTTTTTCTTTTTTAATTATATAATACATATATTAGTGGGACCAATTTTTTAATAAAAAAGAAAGACGCGCTTAACTATTTTCGTTATGCCACGTCAGCATTAAGGGGGATATTTATTCACTTTAAATGAGATTAGGGGGTATATAAACACCCGTGTAGTTGAAGTATTAAAGTAAGTTTTCGTGCCAAGTTCAAGGAGGGTTTTATGTATTTTCCCAAAAATAAAACTAGAATAACAACATCCCCATCACATAAAAAAAGGAGAAGTTAAAAAATAAAAGAAAATCAACTTTAACATCCCACGTCACAAAAAAGAAAAGATTTACAAAATTTGTGCAGACTACTTTTATTATGGGTCCATGACGAAAAATTTCTAAAACTTTTATAATTGTACCAAGTATCATCTACAGTATAAAAGAAACTAAATTCCAAGGCTCGAGACTTTAATAATTGCATATTTGCATGAGAGAACTTGAAACTTTTTTTGACGTTTCATCTTTTTTCTTTTTTGAAACCTTGCTTTTTAAGTTTCAACAATGAGGTGGTCCTTATGAAATAAAGTTGGTGTTGAAATTATATTAAAAAAAGGTACCATCTATAAATGCCTTTTTCCACATCATTTCGACCAATGGTGTTTGTCTCCAAAGTTTTCAAGCGACTCATAATTTACAAGTAGTAGCACTACTTATTTAAGTGTAAAACATGAGCAATGCTTTTCCTATTATACATTTATACTTGTATTGCACCTCAAAAAGAACTATCACTAGCTATAAATTAATTAAAGATTATCGAATATAATTCTTTCACTCTTAATTAGAAATCTCGATTTGAGTTCTGATAAAAGAATAAAAAAATGTCAAATAAGAGGCTATACACAACATAAATTTAAATTAATTAGGCCCCAAAACGAATAACAAACCAAATTCATGAGTACTCCCATAAACGTGCATGGTGAATGGGTAACATAATCTCATGATTATATATGTTCCCTTGGCTTCAAGAAAGGGGAAATCAAAATGCTGACCCAAAAAGACTAGCATTAACCATCATTCTTCTCTTCTTTGATCCTATATATAGTAACAATGATAGCCTAATTATGTTTAGCATCTACTCTCATGTTTATATGCTTAAGTAATAGTTTATTATTTCTAAAATCAACCACTCCCTAACATGCAAAGTTAATTTTAAAATCTTTCCATGATGTGTGTGTGTGGGGGGGGGGGTCAAAAAATTAGTGAGCAAGTCAAATACAGCTGATAATTGAGTGCCTTAAAATATAGTCTGGCCTACACGTAGGTAATTATACTTAAGAAGTTTATTAGTGTAACCAAGTTAAGCATAAATTAATCAATGTCCTTTTAAATGTATACTTCAATCTATTTGTCCAAGATTTCAAGTCAAGCATCACACACACACACTTTCTCTCGTTGATCTTATTATAGAGAATTTTATAAATTAAATATAATTGAGAGGTTTAAATATGAAAGTAATAAGTTGATACGATGACAATAAAAACAATCTATTTAACATATAATAGTAAATGTTAAATTCTCTTAATTAAATCATGCACGTATTCAATATTTTGAATTTTCTTGGTAAAACTTCTGACTAAACCAACGATTAAACCAACAACAAACTTCTCACAAAACAATTCAATTTCTAATATCTGTATAATTCTAACCAACAAAATGACCATAGTAGCAGCTGGCACAGTAGAGCTATATATCCCATGGCTCGAGGGGTTCTAGGAAATAATTAGTACTACATGTTATTATTATGATGTACTATACTCATTGAAAACGTCTCAAATACACCATTGATAATTTATAATAGTATTATATGTGGATGTGTTAGTTAACTACTACTCCAACTTAATAGTGTAATTTAGAAAGACTCTAAGGAATGTTTAAACTGTACCACCAAATCAAATCACCTACTAAACAAAAGAAGTGGGTCGCACCCCATGCACGTCATATTAATAACAATAATATAGTAGACAGAGGCGGACCCACATGTATAGGTGATGCACGTGCACTCGTTAACTTTAGAAAAAATCATGTGTATATATATGTATATTTATTTTGAAAAACTGGAAGAAACTAAACATAATTAACAGTGCCCTCATGAAAAACATAAAAGGCGGTTGATACCGCTGGTACAAGCAGGCATGATCAACCGTGAGATCATGGTTCGATTCCACTATCCAGTGTCTTCAAATTTTGGGTTCGCCTATGATGATTATTAGTAGAAATCATAAAAGACAGCTAAGAGCTATACAAGTGGCCAATTATTTAGGTAGCTTTGTGCATCTTTGGATGAAAGTTATCCAAAGAGAGCCTTCTGCTTAAAGCTAAGTTCCCCTGACATACATTATGTCGAAACAATTCTTTCTTTTAATTAAAGTAGAAGACTTGTAGAACTAATCGCTCAGAATTAAAGAAGACTTAAAAGAAGTAAATATTTATCCGCACCGCATCGGACTTCAGATCAAAGCAATGAATGCAAGACATGTATCTCTCATATACATAGTTATCACTCAAACCATAGTTATTAAGTGCTATCTATTCTAAGTTTCAAGATGTGATTTAGGTTAATTTGTTCGGTATGGTGTAAACACTGGATAGGGTAGGTATTTAACCACGTAAAAAAATCAAACGAAAAGGGTTAATTATTCTGAGCGACAAGAGTTCTCTTTCCAAAATGGGAATTTCATGGAGACATACGCCAACCAAATTAATAAGTATTATTAGTACTATAATTTAGTCACATGTCTCCTTCCAAGCAAACTCTCTATGATAAGATAGGAGTAGTATATATAATAGCTAATCAGTCTCATTTTTTCTCATTCCCAACATACTCCCCCCCGTTCCCCACTAATCATTTCAAACTTCCAACAACATAAAACACAACGGAGATTTTCCTCATATTAACCATGGTTTCTGAGAGAAATTTGTCCAAGAATGTGTGCATAATTGGTGCCGGACCGTCGGGGTTGGTGGCAGCTAGGGAGCTGAGGAAGGAAGGGCACAATGTGGTGGTTTTTGAACAAAACCATGAGGTGGGAGGGCAATGGCTATATCAACCTAAAGTTGAACATGAAGATCCTTTAGGAAGTAGTAATGTCCTAAAGGTACATAGCAGTATTTATGCATCATTAAGGCTCACTTCACCAAGAGAGATCATGGGGTTTACTGATTTCCCTTTTGTGGTGAAGAAAGGGAGGGATCCAAGGAGATTTCCTGGCCATAAGGAGCTTCTCTTGTATTTACAAGATTTTTGTGAATATTTTGGGCTAAGGGAGATGATAAGATTCAATACTACGGTTGAGTATGTAGGGATGCTGGATTATCCTGAATTTGGCAAGGACTTGAGATGGATTGTGAAGAGCAAAGAGAAGGAAGCAGAGGAACGGGTGGAGGAAGTCTTTGATGCTGTGGTTGTTGCAACTGGTCATTACTCTCAACCAAGGTTGCCCAGCATTAAAGGTTTGTCAAAATTTCCATATCTTTCGAGTTTAAGTTTTGTACATTGATAGAATGATAATGAATATCATCAGATTAAGTTGATCTAAAACAACAGGTAACTGATCATCATAACAAGCTTAATATGGCAAGCTGGAAAGTAAAATACTAATCTACTGAGTTGATTAAATTACATTGGTAGTGTAATAAAAAGATCCCAGAGTTATAACTAACATTATCAATCAAATCAATTCCTTCATAGTCAGGTCATGTCAAGGTACAGTTAAATAAGAAAATCATAAGATCTTTTTATCAAAGTTAATTACAGCATGTATTATATACTTGCATAAACACATAATGCAGAGTTTGTAATTTACTTCTGTTCTTTTTATCCAATAGTATAAGAATGACACTAAAAGCTTTTTTATCTGTTTTGTTTGATAAGGAATGGATGCATGGAGAAGAAAGCAGATGCATAGCCACATTTACAGGGTTCCAGAACCCTTTCGGAATGAGGTAATGCAAAAATCTCTACAATCACAGACAACAACATACCCAGTGTAATCCCATAAGTGGGGTTTGGGGAGGGTAGACCTTACCCCTACCTTGCGCAAGATCTTTTTTACTCAACAATCATAGAGATGAATGATAATCAACAGGATGTCTTTTTTACTTTTTCTATTTCAAATAATAATTGTGTTGCAAGATCCAGAAACATAATTGATTTATAAGCTATAACATCTCATGATGTCATAATTCGAACTCCAGTGCATGTCATATATTCCAATAAAAAATAAAACAAAATTCCAGAATTGCCACAGTGGACCACATCACCATATCATCTAAGTTTTCTCTTAAAGAAGTGTTAACTTTGTTTTGAAACAAACTTCAACTCTTATCCGTACAACTTGCTAAATATTTTTAACTTAGCAGGTAGTTGTGGTGGTTGGAAACTCACTAAGTGGTCAAGATATAGGAATGGAGCTTGTAGATGTGGCAAAGGAGATCCATCTCAGTGCCAAATCTCTTGATGTTTCTGAAGGATTGTCAAAAGTTATATCCAAGCACCAAAATTTACATCTTCATCCTCAGGTTTGTTAAATTAAAAAATTGACGATGCAGTTAACTGAAACATGAAAACCCCAAGACATTTTTCATATTCGATAATATAACTAATCTAGAATGAAAATGCAGATAGATTCATTACATGAAGATGGGAGGGTATTGTTCGTAGATGGTACTTCAATCGTTGCAGACACTATCATATACTGTACAGGGTAAAATGCTCTATTCCCATGCACTTGCCTTTGCTAGTAAAAAAGAAAACTTAAAAGCAGAGACTGAAGATAAACCCCATGTGATGTTCTAACCAGCCTGGGGACTTCATCCATCTACTAGACATTCTAATACTCATTTTGTCTTATGTAGCTTAAACATATATTTATATATATATAAAGAATTTTTGAAGTGTAGTAAAAATTTAAAAAATAATTTGACTTTTATACTTTGATTCACCAGAAGTAGTGAGACAGAACTATGAAGTTCTTAGACATGGTTTTGTCTTAAAGTGAAAACAATCTTGTTACAGCAACAAATAATGACAAATCCAATTGTTTTTTTTTTTTTTGCATTGTACAGGTACTCCTACTCCTTTCCATTTCTTGACACCAAAGGAATGGTAATAGTTGATGATGATAGAGTGGGCCCACTTTATGAGCACACCTTCCCTCCTTCTCTTGCTCCCTCTCTCTCCTTCGTTGGCATACCCAGAAAGGTAACCACTTCCTGACTTTTTTCTTTTTACTTTCCCCGGTGCTTGGCCCCACTATGGGACCTGACTAATCGGGTTTCGTGCTAGGAAGTTCCACTTTGGAGTAAAACGCCCTCTGCCAAAGGCAATTCCATTCTCCGGCCTGAACTTTAGACCTCTAATTAAATATGAAGGGATATTTCCCAGCTACCACCCCACCACAACCACTTCCCAACTGTTAACCCCTACACATTTGTACTACAATTAATCTTCCAATAATTCATTGTGCCTTAATTTCAAATTTAAGAAATAGCTTAGTCCTAATTATATTCTTGGAAAACAGCTTCTATCATTATTTTGGATTACTGTCCATAAATAGATCAGTATCCATGTTTAAGAGATGGAGTGTTAGTTAATAGATCTTCTCTTTTTTATAATGTAGCTCATAGGGTTTCCTTTCTTCGAGTCACAAGCAAAATGGATTGCCCAGCTGCTGTCTGGGAAAAGAACACTCCCCTCATGGGATGAGATGATGCAATCCATCAAGGAATTTTATCGTTCAAGAGAAGTTGATGGCATTCCAAAGCATAATACCCATGATCTAGCTAATTTTGAGGTAAAGTTATCGAAGTTGCTCAAAAACCAATAGTAACAAGTTGACTTGAGCATTTAAGCCACGGCACTAGGAAAACCTACTAAATGTTGTGTTTGACTGATTTTCTTTGGCAGTACTGTGACAAGTATGCAGACTACATAGGATTCCCACATTTAGAAGAATGGAGGAAAGAACTCTGCCTTTCAGTACTAAGAAATGCAGATATAAACTTGGATACATATCGAGATTCATATGATGACAGTGAGATGCTACAAGAAGCTTATCAAAGTCCACACTTCGCTCACCTTGGTCCCGAGACTTTTTGAATCTGAAAGAATAAACACAGATAGAGTGCAACCAATTTTAATTCATTTATTTCTGAAGTAGATTTGTCCAGCTATTTAGTATTTACTAGCTTCTATCAGAGTGGATTTTTTTTTTCTTTCTATATATTACTTTCGACTTCATCCTTACCTATGAAAATAAAAAAAGTCAAAAAGGTATCTGGTTGAATGCTCGACATTTTAATGATGATATTCATGAAAGAAATTTTGTTTTCTTTTATTTAAATATTACAGCTGAAGGCTATTCTCTAAAAATTATTGTATGATATGTGAAGTGAAATCCATTTATAAGACCTCACATTTATGTTCTGATTAGCATCATTTGTAATTTCATTCCTCAATACTTTGTCACCTAATTAAATGAAAATGAGGCACGGTACAACAGTTTCATGAAACTAAAGGATGTTCCTGCACTTAAATAGCTCCTCAAGTGAAAGACTTGCACCGTGAATGCTAATTATTTCAGGGATAATAGGCACAGACAGATTTATGGGCTAACAAAACCAGGCTGCCAAAGCTAGCCCAAGAAGAGGTCAAGAAGCAATGTATTGGTGATGGACTGATGGCAATAACATATTCTGCCTCAACAGTCATACAAAAATTGTAGCTGAAGATTTTATGAAAAGAAGCAATAAATATGTGAAAATAAAAATTAGGGTAGAACGTGATGTACCTTTGGTGTACGCATTTTCCAGCAGAGATTTAGATACTCTGCGTCAACATCATTGTTGTCTAGAAGGTGAACTTCTGATAACATTGTTCTGAGAGTGCACAATCCACATATGAGGCATGCCAAAATGTGTCTCACCTGACAAAACAGCTAATATGCTCAAGAGACTGTTCTACAAACTTGAAAATTAGTCATCTAACTGAGATATGCCATAACTACCTAAGATCATGGATAAGACAAACAGTCAGCACATCAGATTTGCACAGCTAAAAAACAAAAGTGGCTCTGACACTTGAGAGCCTTCAAAGCACACATTCTGCAGTTCCTGAAGTCTTTAGGGCCTTTGGCAGAGTCATACAGCTAAAATGAAAAAAGCTCCGTTGAACCTAGAATATTTCTCAAATATCAAGGACTTAAACTTTCACAAGATAGGTTTATAGTAACAAACCAACTCCAGAAACTGTAATGATATTGGCAGCTTGACTACCCAAACAGATTAGAAGTTCACAATCGCCTCAAAAGGTTTCGCACGGCAGTATCCAAAACCATAAACTGTATCTGGATTTTATCCATGTCGTGCTAGGTTATGTCTGGTATACCAGGGAAAACTAAAATATCCCAAGTAATCCATCCATCAAAATAAGAAATAACTACTTAAGTCCGGTGGCAGATTCTGAGGCCTCTCAGATCACTTTTTCCTGAAGCTCAAAAACAAAAGCTGATAGTAATAATTACACAAATGAGACACGACATCCTCAGTGAAAATTTGCCGGTCTCTGTGCTGTAAGTGCCCCTAATGTGTCAGACGACATAACATCACCTATATATATACTAGGTATCACCAATAATCTTTGCATGAACAAAGACCTCCAGTGAAATGATGGAAGCGCTTTATATCTCTAACAACAATATTTCTTTTATAAACTGCTGAAGCAAGCTTAAAGAATTGGTGGCAGTCCTGACAAATCCTTAAATTCTTCATTATCCTTAATGTAGGCTCAGATGAGTGTAGCAGCCCAAATGCAAGAGCAAGCTTTTCACTGTGGTATATCAGATTATGCTCCTTTTCCTCTTCATTAATATCATACAGAGCTATCTCTGTTTCAGGCACATAACCTGCTAATTTCAACTGATTTTTCATGTCTTGCAACATCTTATGTATTTCCTCATTCCCTGTTTTAAGTGGATCAGATGCCTTAAACTCATAAACTGCATTCTCAATTTCAATTGAACTGCATCCAGGAATCTTTTTAATACCACCGCTGTCCATCAACTCCCTAACTTCTCCAACTTCAGTCCATTTCTTTTTTTGAGTGTGAACATTTGATATTAACACGTAGTTTTCCCCATTCGTTGGTTCCAGTTCCAGAAGCTTACGGAAAGCAAATTCACCAAGTTCTTCTCTTCCATGAAATCTACAAGCACCAAGTAGTGTCCTCCATATTATTGCATCTGGCTTTAGTTTCATAGAATGAATAATTTGCATAGCTTCATCCAAGAACCCACCACGTCCAAGTAGATCAATCATACACCCATAATGCACAATCTTTGGCTGCAATCCAAACTGATTTATCATGCTTGAGAACAGCCTTCTACCTTCCTCCACAAAACCTTGGTGACAGCAAGCACATAAAACACCGAGGAAAGTAACATGATCAGGCTTTAAGTCTTCTACAATCATCCTATCAAAAGTCTGCAATGCAGCCTCCCCTTGTCCATTCATGGCATATGCCGAAATCAATACATTCCATGTATAAATATTTTTTAACCCCATAGTTTCAAAAACCTTTTTTGCCTCATCAATGTCTCCACATTTAGCATACATATCAATTAACGCAGTACCAACATATACATTCACTCTCAACCGATTCTTGACAATATAATCATGGATCCACCGCCCTTGACTCAGAGTTCCTAAATGAGAACAAGCTGATAAAACTCCAACCATAGTGACCTCACCTGGTTTAACCCCAGAAGCTAGCATCTCCCTGAACACATCAATTGCTTCTCTGAACATCCTATTATGCGTATAACTCGTGATCAACGAATTCCACGTAACTACATTTCGCTCAGGAATTTCATCAAACAGTTGATGAGCATCATCGGGTTGTCCACATATACCATACATGTAGACCAGAGCAGTGTTTGTATAAACATCGGAAGTGAAACCCAATTGAATTGCATTACAGTGGATGGATTTCCCAACTTCTCCACAACATAACTGAGCAACAGACTTGAGAACGCTGGGGAATGTTGAGGAATCAGGAAGGATATTCAGTTTACGCATTTGGGTGTAAACGAAAACTGCACGCGAGTGATTTTTTGAATCCGTATAGCGTCTGATAAGTGTATTACATAAATTAACATCAATGGAACGAGAGAACTCGTGGAATAGAAGAGAACTAGGAGTAAACTCATTTGAAGAGATAGAAGAATCAATCAATTTCATAAGCGAGAATTGATCGATTGGTTTATCGCAGGCTACCTTTCGATTCATGTGGCTCTGGGCAGGGATTTCACGCATTGGGAAATCGACTGAAGCTGAGATTGTATAAGCTCGGAAGCCATAGGCGGATGAAAACTGTGTAAAGGTCTTCAGTGATGCTTTCATGGTTAAGCAAATTGCAAGCTTTCTGCTACAATACTATTTTCCTGCTATTGTTGCACTAATGATATATAGCTTTGGAATATCTAAATTTAAAATATTACATTAATTTAATTCGATAGAGCTCAAAAGATTACTCAAATTGACTCGTGTGAAGTAAAATGTGACAAAGTAAATGGGAATGGAGGGAGTAAAATTTTCACTGCTCCAATTATATTTTCATATTCAAACACAATTTCAACTTTCAAACACTACTTTTTTAAAAAAACCTCAACTAAATCATGCCCAAACATCTTCTGAATATTTGTTCACTACTTATCTTCTATGAGTTTTCCCGTTAATTTATAACGAATTTAACTAAGAGAGATCAAGCAAATGGGGAAAATTTAAAATTAGGAACATTAGCATGAAAGGAAGAGACCAAGATTCAGCAGTTGTTGCTGCCGTTCGTGTCTCCTGTTTTAGCTTCTTCGTTAGTACTGCACTTCCCTTCTTCCTCTTCTTGTGATTTATTCTTCTTTCTTGTAATTTTGTGCGAGTACTTAGCAAAAGCAGCCGAAAGTGCTGACTTGACAGTCACTTCGGGTTCTTTCTTCTCACTGTTGCTTGTATCCACAATTTCCTTCTCATCTTCCTTTGTGTTGCTGGAGCCAGGATGAGATTCATTAGCGACTGAAGTTTCTGGAATGCATTGGCGTTTTGGCACTTCTCGCTTGAAAGGTTCATGAAAAGCATCATACAAGCGTTTTACCTGATCCATCACAAGTTCGATGAGTACATCAAACTGAAGAAAGAAGTAACTGGCAATAACATTGAAGCACTCTGAAGGATCTTAATAACTAGCTCATTGATTTTTTTTTCTCTTGTAACAATGTATGTCAATGGAAAATATTAAGAACTTCTAGTGGTAGTGGATCCAAATTATAATAAGGAACAAATAGGTTCAAATGGAGCAAAATGGATAGTGAGGATTTTTATAGCCAACCCGACAAACTTGGGATTGAGGCATAGTTGTTGTTATTGACTTTTTGCTTCTCCAAATCCTCTATAAGACGGCTTCCATTCATAAAGCACTTCTATGATAAAACACAACCAGAGAGGCAGTAAGATGAGACAAAATTGCCTTAATTGCCATCACGAATACTGGTAACGTTTACAACATAGTGATGCCTATGGCTAGAAAAACATGAGCTTCCTCGATATAATTTGAAACGACAACCAGCAACAAAACAAATAACTTTCTCATTGCCCCAAGCGAAAAATTAATCCAACAAAACCATACAAAACATACAACCAACACACAGAAAAGAAAAAAAGAAAGACAAAGAAGCAAACAAATTGGAGAACATGGATCACACGGAAAGATACCTTGCGCTCTCCTATGCCAGGGCAACGAGCAAGGTCTTCCATAGATGCATCCATCACATGAGAAAGAGACTGCAAAGAATCTCACTATCTTAGGAATTGACTTGAAAAAGAAAATAGTTTCTAAACATTCCACTGCAATTTCACTCTTACCCCAAATGTTGACCCAAGAGTCACAACATCTGTTTTGTTAACATGTCGTATTGACGTCAGAGCATGATTCAGCTACAATGAAACAATAAACCACATTTTGGTGTGCTCATATCAGAGAGCTTAGGGGGGGGCAATCCATTCTTTGACTATTTTCTTTTCAGACAAGTTCCTCAACATAATTTGAGTCATCCTGCATCGGAAAGTAATTTACTGAAAACTGTAATCAACTGACACACATACCCGTGATAGGTAGTCTCCATCCATTTGGCCCTGAATGAGGTCGGCGGGCTTATTTTCATAAACCTTTACCGTCTCCAAGTACCGTCCGCATTCTTCCAAACTAAAAAATTTAAGCAATTTAGGTGTTTGCCAAAAACTGCCTTATACAGATCTTCAACAGAAACAACAATAACAAGAGTCGTCTTTTCTCAACTGATCTTTTTGCGGCACAGCCACACAAGGCAGGGCATAATGATGTGCAGTGATGAGTCATAATAGAAGAAAGCAGAAACATCTCAGAGTAATTCCAAGATGTTTCTAAGCAAGCATACCACTTTATGAAGTTAATATAACCAAACATAAGAGGTACCTCCATCCACACAACAGAGTGCAATCATGAAGGAGAGAAGTTCTGGTAACTTCAAGTAAAGGCTTGATAACATCTTCCTGGACCCAAAGACAACCATGAGCATGAGTCAAGTTATTGTACAAGCATCAAAACGAAAATATGAAGAAGTCAAAAAGTATTAAAGGGCTTACAACATCAACATGGCACAAAATTATGCGGAGTCTAAAGTTCTTCTGCAACTCCCTTATCCGAAAATACAAGTAGTCTGGATGAAGCAGATGATACCGGAGGCTACACCAGAAAAGGGAAGGAAAAATAAAGAAGGGTAGAATGTCAAGCAGTAGTACAAATGCACTATTGGAAAAAGATACCAAATGTATATTTTTACAAAATCATCTACCAAGTCAAGCTTAGTAACCAATCTTCATAAGAAAATAAAGCAATCATTATAAGAATTCAAATACAGGCACCTATTGTCAGAAACTATATGATTCTTCCAATAGATTGTGTGCAAGATGAACAGAAATTGGAACCCTTCAAACCTCAAATAAAGAGCACAAGTGTTTGGGCCCAATAAGTAGTCACAAACAATATCTGCAAAAGTCCACCTCACATTCCTGATATGTTTTAGCAACGGATTTCCCTTCTGCATCCGAATAGAAAGAACAGAATAAATAGACAAAATTTACAAATAGCTTGCTGCGAATATGCATATGCAAAAAATCTTCATTTCAGAGTCGCACCACTAACTTTGGCAACTTGGGTTCACTCATTATAGGAAAAGTTAAAGTTCAAAAAATCTCTTGTTTGTTCAGTTTCTAGCTTGTACTAGTCAATTAAATATATTTGCTATCCATAGTCCATTGTATACAGTTAGTAGGCAGAAGATGTGTTTTTTCTCTTTACAGTGGTAGAGTATGGAGCATCAATCTGTTCTCATATGTACTATTACTACTATGCTAGCATTCTCTTATCTTTCAACGTTATTACTACTAATGTTTTCTTTACTTCAGTTAAATATTATTACAATTTGTACTTTTCTTTCTTCATTATTTTCATCATAGCTTCTTATTTATGTAAATCGAGAGTCTTTCAGAAACAACCTCTCTACTTCAACAAAGATACGTATAAGGTTTGCGTACACCCAACTCTCCCCAGACCCCCATTTGTGGGATGGTATGTTGTTGTAGTCCATTGTCATATAGCTTGGTCAGATAACTAAGAAGGCCACTTTGATATATACGAAAATTTTCCAATGCGTGCAACTAGTCTTTTGGTTCAGGTGCTAAAAGGCATACAACCAGTTTATAGAGGCATATGACTAGGACACAATATTGATGCTAGTACATTCTCTCTAATTGTGGATAGGTTAACTTCAAATTAAAACAAAGAATATAATAGATGCAGACCGAGCTTAGCAAAACAACATGAACCAAATTCCACTACGCAAATTTACATGCTCCCGTGAAGGTGGAGGCTAATTACACATCAAAATAATAGGAATATTATAATAGATGGACAATTTTGAGCTAGTCCACAAAATTCTCCAGATGCAATGTTGATTAAATAAAAGCAAAGCAAAAAATCTCACCTGTCTATTGCTAACAAGTATAGCATTTCGATTAGCTGAAGATGAGGGCGTAGACGATGATGAAGTATTAACATCTGAACTATTAACCGGTCTATATAATAAAAAAGAAAAACTCATAAGCCAATCAGAATTTCAAATGCTACAAAGTCAAAGTCACAAACATTGTGAAAATTCAAACAGACCTGGGAGTGGCGGATTGAGATGAGGAAGAAGGCTGAGTATTAGGAGGTGGGGGAGGGGAGTAGAATTCGGAGTTCTTGACGAATTTGAATGCTTGAGAGAAAGAAGGGGTAGGGTTGAAGAGAGAAGATGACGACGACGTCGTTTTGGACTGAGAAGAACTCTCCATAACTTCTTCATAGGAAGGAATCTGTATCACGAAGCTCTTCTTCTTCTCTCCTCCTTCCCGCTCTGCGTCTCCCATTTCGTTACTGTATTTTCTCCTTCTGCTTTCTTTTCTGTTTCGCCGCCATTTTTTCTGATTTTCACCCACCAAATACTATCACCAAACCGACCCGAATTTTTTATTTTATTTTTTTGCATAGTTTTTGACAGGAATTTAATTGAAATAAATTTTTCCGGAAAATATTTCCCTTCCTACTAAAAACACGTGCAAAAGTATATTTTCATTTAAGCCGCCAACAACAATAACAATACTCAGTGAAATCTCTCCAAGTAAGGACTGAGAAAGATAGAGTACACACCTTACCACTATCGGAGATAGATTATAGATAAATTGTTTTCAAAGAGCATCAATATATTTTCATTTAAGCCAACAACAATAAAAAAAAATAGTAAATAAATAAAAGCATATTCAAATCAGGAATATTAATTCTCTAAAACTTAAATCAGTTGTTTTGTAATACACCCATAATTAAAAATTGGTATTTTAAAATGTGAATTGGATTAAGTGATTGGTTTTTCTTTCCTTTTTACAAGCAGCAAACAAATGATTCTGATTTATGTATGCATTTAACAATGTTTTCACTGAGATGTTATGAGAACATTTACTGTAAATTCATGAAATATGGGAAGGTTTATCAAACTAACAACAAATTGTTGTTATCTTTGTCATTACCATTGTAACTTCAACATGAGTAGTTCCGCATTGCACCAAAAAAATAAAGTATGCTATACGAATTCGGGTTACTACCTGTACATACAATTCCAAGAGCAGAAATGCCTCAAAAATAAACTACTCCTATGAATCAACTTTGTGCACCATATAATATTTTCATGAGTCCAAAATACTGGCTCTAAAAATAACTAATCAGCTAAAAGAGAAGATACAACGAGGTCTTCGACTGTTTTGCCGTTCTTTTGTTAACCCCCAGCCTTTCCAGACTTTCTCTGTAATGCCTTCCTTGTCATTACTAGGATGTGGTTGTAACAGTGAGCATGTTGTTCTTCTCGCAATAGGGGACCATCTCCTACTTCTCGAACTAGCCCTGAGTGGAGTTTTCCTCGATGGACCTGATTCTGATGCAGCAGTTGCAGGTGACTCTAGACCTCCATTCAACTGATGCAGAGAAACAGAGGCACCAGCAGGATGTGGTTCTGTTTGAAGGACCCTCTGATAGTTTGCTCTCCTAGGTTGGCTCCTCCTTGTCCGACTATGCAAAGTATTGCATACTGCTTCCTTCTCAGTTCCCCCTTTGCGTGTGAGCTTCACGACCTCATTGCAGTTGCTCCTGTCTGATATAAGTGTATTGCGATGACAATGGAGGTTCGTGAATTCTCCAACCTCTTTCTCAGGATTACTTGCCGAAGAAGTTGCAATATCAGCAAGCCAGCCCAGAGTGTCATGAGAAGCTTCAGATGGTCCACCTTTGGCAGTCTTTGAATTTCCCCGAGATGATGAAATAAAAAGCAGGATCTCTGCTGCAGCCCTGTCGGTTTTTCCAGCGTGATCATTCATGTGGTATATTTTAGACCACTGGACAGACTTACCAATTGTTTTGTCCAGAGAATCTCCTCTAGGTGGAGAATATTCCTTGTTTTCTGGGCCTATAGGAGCTTCCAAATCTCTGTCCACAGGAGTCATTGTTGCTTCACTGTGACCAGATGAAAAAGTTTCGTCCTTGATGCAGGACATGTTAATGCAAGAATTAGTTGTCAGAAACTTGCTATCACTTCCAGGTCCTACAAAGTGACTATCCCTGCTAGATTTACCAGATTCGACTGCAGAATCAGGACTCAGGATACAATCAAGAAGAACGGTTCCACAAATCTCTCTTTCTACACCTTCAGAGAGATTTAGATGTGAAATGGAGGTAGGGGTGGTAAGCTGATTGTCAGACAAATCGGCATAAGGTGTGCAATTCAAGTCCATACCCTTCATTGAACTCATGCTATCTGGAATGTCAGATAGCTTAACAGCATCAGGTTTTCCAGATGTAGATTCATTATCACCATATTTCATCAAGCATGAGCCTGATGTGCCAGAAGTTGGACTAGAAGCACTACTGTTGTACAGGTCACTCTTCTTTCCAGTGAGACTAGAGTTCCCAACAGAAGAGTTAGGACTCTTACTGAGTGATGAATTAGTAATAAAGCATGGAAGAGCTTGAACTGCAAAGGGTATCTCCTTCATTTTTTTCCGAGAAGAAACTAGCAATGATTTGTCAATTCTTGTTCCATTATGACTCTTATCTACAAATCCAGGAGATAAACTTGCTGTTTGATTACATTGAAGAAGTGTCGTCTCAACAGAAGAAACTTCATCAGAAGAATTCATGTTGCTTATATCTCCCCCTGTAACTGCAGGTAATAAAAATGAGTGAGAATTTCAATCTACCAACATTTTGGTGATACATTAAGAACATAAAAAGGATCTGATGGAAGAAATACAAAAGCAGTCATTTTGTGCAAACAAATGTTAAGAGCATCCTATCAGCCTACATATTGTATTTAGGATATTGTCTTTAGAGAATATTCAGAATACCTTCTTTCTCCAGAGTTGAGCAGTCAGCATGCACTGTTCCAGATAGATCCTGATCCATGTTGCTGATTTCCTCATGAATGTTAACAGACTCAAGTGCAGAATTTGGATACCCTGTTTCATCAAGCTGTATTGGTTCATTCAGGTCAAACAAAAGAAAGCTACCCCTAGGACTTGAGTTAGAAATTGAAGGATCTCCTGGATTAGCAAAGTTGACTTTTGAACTATCCTGAGGTTGAAGCTCTGAAATCACAATATTGGGCCCTTGAACAGAACTTTCCCTTACAAATTGTTCTCCGTCTTCAATATCCATGTATTCTTCTGCAGGAAGTTCAAGATCCAACATTCTCTTCCTGGATGCACTGCTCTTCGAAGAAGATATTTTCCTTTCTTTTGTAACATTTTGTTCAGCCAATAAGTCAGCACCTGATGGCACTCTCTGACCAGCAATAGAATTTGAAGAACCTTGAAAAGTTTCTCCACATAGTGTAGATGGCTCAATGCTTGTGAGGTCTAAAACCATCTGGCAGTGGGATTTCTGAGAAATTTCAGACCTTAATTGTGACACAAAAGACTTCGACTCTAATGCTTGCAAGTGTAAATGATCCTCCACTAGTTTTCTCCTCCTAATCTCCTCCATTACCTCCCTTTGTCTTCTATGTACACGATGTAGTTCATTGACCTGAGAAAGAAAACATGTTTTAGACTTGTATATGGTTCTGATCCATTCAGAGAATCACCAACTGATTAAAGCATTCCAAAGACTACTATCGCCCAAGACCAACAATAATTATAAAAAGATCCACAGCATCATTGCAATCATTTGCAATATCTGTCCCGCCCCACCTTAAACAATAAAGAAGAAGAATATCAGATAGAGTAAAGGAGAATATCTAGAAGAATTTTGATTCTAGTACCACAGTTTAATTCTAGATCACCTGACACTTCAACAAACATGAGAGGACTCATAGGCATAATTATTTTACATGCAAAACAAATTGAAGGGTTCAGTCAAAAGACATATTAAATTGATTGGATGATGACCTGATCTTTTTCAAAGAGTAAGATCAAAGGCTCGTGTCTATACCTGATATCTAAATATTGCTTCATGCTTGAGTATTGTCTGCTTCAATATTTCCTTTTGATGAACTAATTCCAGGTTCTGGTCCGCCATAAATGGAGGCAAGGAAACATAGAATCCTCTGGCACCGTTCCAGGCGATATCATTGTGTTGTATAGACCATGAATTCCCACCAAGGCTCCCACCATTAAGATCTTTTGGATGGTATCCTGGGAGATAGCTTGTACACTGCATTTTCCGCCCCACCCTAGGACACAATAAAAAATTCACAAGTTTAGAATGATGTGCATACGAAACAAGATAGTTAATACCACAACACAAATAATACACCATTATGTTACAACAGAGAAAGGAATATAGAGAAAGACACTGAAAAGTAGGTCACAAAAGGAGAGAGAACTATTCCATGATGCTCAATTTTCTGTTATGTCCTCTTAAATTCAAACAGAACTTATTGTACTTCGATGTGTCGAGAGGGAGATTTATATCGAAAAGAATAACAGCGATGCATTATTCTCTATGAATATGTCATGCACTCTCTAATCAAACTAAACTCAATTCTCCGTATCATGTTAATCTATTTCACACTGTCAAGTTCAAGGGCCGAATGATAAACGAGTTGTGAACATTATAAAATTTTGGAATCAAACATGAAATAGAGATTATGATAAAGAGGCAGCAACACAACTACAGATTCAAATATAACTACAATTATGTGGAATCATTTGTCTAAAGTTGAATCCAGACTTGAAAATCATCCATGCAATTTGAATGAAGGAAGCTGAGAATAAATCCAACATCCACAAAAACAATTAAAACAAGAAACACTTATGAACATACCAAAAAGGAGACAAAAAGAAAGAAACCCATCTTCCTTTTGACTTCGAAAACATTGGGAGAAAAAAAAACAGAAAATGTCAGTACTGCAAAATCCAACCCAAAATTTGAACAAAGTCATGAGGAAGAAAGGGTCAACAATCATAGATCCAATCATCAGTTGGATTATACTGATGCATAAACTCAGAATGGGCTAAGAAAAAGAGAGATGAAAGAAGAACAAAAAGACCCCAACATTCAAATCCGCAAATATGCACAAACAAAGATGCAATCATCAGTTGGATTATACTGATGCATAAACTCAGAAGGGCGAAGAAGAAGAAGAAGAAGAAGAAGAAGAGATGAAAGAAGAACAAAACACCCCAACATTCAACTCCACAAATATGCACAAACAAAGATGCATCTATGAACATCCAAACTACCCAGATGAAGAAAATCACAAAAAACTAAACAACCAAAAGAACAAAAACAGCAAATCCACTAATTGAATGAATTTGTAGAAATTACCAGATACGAATTCTTCGAAATGGGTTCACCTCACAGAAAACAAAAAACCCAGTAACAGATCAGTAATCCAAGACAACCTCCAGCTCATAAGCTAAAACAAATCCAACAAAAAAAAACCATTATAGACAAAGGTATAGA